GCAGCCATCATTGTTGTTTGGCGGGTCCGGGCTGGGGATTCAAACCCGCCACCTTAGGTGTATGTGGCTGGCACCTTAGCCATTTGAGCCACAGGCACCAAGCCAATCAAGGTAAAAATTAATGTCTCAAGGATAAATCTTGAAACATTCATGTTGATCTCTGAAAAAGTAATTTTCTGAAGAATAAATACAATATTGCAGAAAGCCCCAAAATGGGGAAAAAAACTTTCTAAAACTATAAAGGAAAGTAGGGATTGATTCACATGAGGAAGAGGGACCCAGAGGCCTTCAAAGGTAAATGTTATTATTTCTTTTTCTTTTTTTTTTTTGAGACAGAGTCTCAAGCTGTTGCTCTGTCATCATAGCCTACAGCAATCCCAAAATCCTGGACTTAAGCGATTCCTATTCCTGCCTCAGCCTCCCGAGTATCTGGGACCACAGGCCCCGCCACAATGCCTGGCTATTTTTTGTTGTTGTTGCAGTTGTCATTGTTGTTTTAGCTGGCCCAGGCCAGGTTTGAACCCACCAGCCTTGGTGTATGTGGCCAGCACCTTACCCACTGAACCAGGGGTCCTCAAACTTTTAAACAGGGGGCCAGTTCTCTGTCCCTCAGACTGTTGGAGGGCCGGACTGTGGGAGTGTGGGCTCCGGGACGAGTCAGCTGCTAAGAGGACAGGCAGCAGCAGCAAAAACACCTGATGGGGCAGATAAATGTCCTCCGCAGGCCACATGTGGCCCGTGGGCTGTAGTTTGGGGATGCCTGCATTAGGTGGTAAGCAGTTGGGTTATTTTTATTTTTTTCTATTATGAATAAAACTGTAATAAATATTGGAGTCTAAGTTTTTGTATTGACATACTTTTCTTTTTCTTTTTTATTTTTAATTCTTTCCAGCATGACCAAGAATACTTTGGCTTTGGGAACCCAGGAGGAAAACCATTTCAGTGAAAAGTGCAGGAAGCCCCACCAATCCCTTGAGGGTTTTGCCTTTCTCTTTTTTTCAGAGAGTCTCACTATATCATCCTTGGTAGAGTACTGAGGAGTCACATAGCTCACAGCAAGCTCCAACTCTTGGGCTTAAGAGATTCTCGTGACTCAGCCTCCCACGTAGCTGCAACTACAGGTATCCGCCATATTGCCCAGCTATTTTTTGTTGCAGTTGTCATTATTGCTTGGCTGGCCTGGGCTGGGTTTGAACCTACCAACTTCAGTGTATGTGGCTGGCACCATTCAATTCTTTCAAATATATACCCAGAAGTAAAATTGCTAACAGGAATTTTTCTCCTTTTAAGACATCTTTACAGACAATTTAACATTTATATGAAAATTTAATAAATGTTTGGTTTACAATAAAATTAAGTGCATAAATGCCTGTAGCTTTAGGAAACTATTTTGTCATTATTGTTATTGAAACATTTTAATAATTTATTTAATCCTTCTGCCCCTTAGTTTGAAGTTAATCAACTCATATACTATTTACCTTGTCCTTTTTCAAGGAAAATGATTTTGGATTCTGGAAGAAAATTAGATCCAGTCACAATCATTTCATGACCTCCATTTACAGAGCAGCTGTTGATGCTATACTTCTCAATATGAGGAAGTTCTTGAGCAGACCGCTGTGCTGTATTTTTTAAGAGTTGAGAGAAACAAAATATTAGTTAAAAATATTTTCTAAATAAATGACAAATTTGAGCTAAAAATGAAAATAAACAGAAGCAAATCTGGAGATTATTTAGGCTTTTGCTTTTTTTTTTTTTGAGAAACAGTCTCACTTTGTCACCACTGGTAGAATGCTCTGGCATAACAGTTCACAGCAACCTCAAACTTTTGGGCTTAAGCAATTCTCTTGCCTCAGCCTCCCGAGAAGCTGGGACCACAGGTGCCCACCACAACCCTTGGCCATTTTTAGAGAAGAGGTCTCATTCTGGCTGAGACTGGCCTCGAACCCATAAGCTCAGGCAATCCACTCACATCAGCCTCCCATATTCAGGCTTTTCAATTCAAGAAAATAGTAACAATACCTACTAAAAGAACTAAGTTGTTCAGAAGACAAAATATATTAAATTTACAGATTTCTGAACTATTTTCTTAGACAACTATCAAAAAACTAATAAAGAGAAATTAATATCTTCAATTTCATAATGACTCCATCACATTAACCTCATCTGCTTTTCTCTTTTTAGCTTAAATATTATTTTATTTTATTTTTTTTTAGAGCCAGATACTCATTTTGTCACCCTCAGTAGAGTGCCTTAGCATCACAGCTCACAGCAACCTCCAGCTCTTGGGCTTAGGCAATTCTCTTGCTTCAGCCTCCCAGGTAGCTGGGACTTATAGGCGCCCACCACAATGCTCAGCTATTTTTTTGTTTCAGTTTGGCCAGGGCTGGGTTCGAACCTGCAACCCTCGTATATGGGGCCGGTGCCCTACTCACTGAACCACAGGCACCACCCTCAGCTTACATCTTTAATATATTTTTTCCGTACAACTATCTGTTAATATTTGTAAATCTAACATAGTTAGAAAAAGCACCTAAGTCCAAAGATGTATAATGATACATCATACAATTAAGAGAAGAAAGTTTTTAAAGAACTACTACAGGACAAACACCAAGTAACCCTTTCATCAAGAAAAATACCTAGGCTCAGTGGCTGTAGCAAAGTGGTTATAGCGCAGGCCACATTAACTGAGGCTGGCGGGATTGAACCTGGCCTGGGCCTGCTAAACAATGAAAACTGCAACAAAAATACAGCCAGGTGTAGTGGCAGGCGCCTATAGTTCCAGCTACTTGAGAGGCTAAGGCAGAAAAATAGCTAAAGCCCAAAAGTTGGAGGCTGCTGTGAGCTGTGATGCCACAGCACTCTACCCAGGGACACATACTAAGACTCCGTCTCAAAAAAAAAAAAAA